TCCTGGGTTCTATCTCTGGCCCAGGGAGGGGTGTGGGGTCTAGTAGTGGCCAGTGCAAGGTGCCCGTTATGCCCTGGGACACGACCGCCCCAGGGGTGTCGCCCCCCCATGTTTTATCCCATTTCGATGGATCCCAACCACCGCCCTGCCAGCTGAGCCCTCCTGGCCACAGGGGAGCCGTATCCCCCAGCCAGCCCCATCCAATGCCCCCGAGGCTGGGGCCCTGATCTCTGCTCCGCCTGCCCCCTGCAGGCAAACGTCGCCCCTACTTACTTGAGCGCGATGGAGTATTTGCCATTCCCCGTCTCGCTGGTCCGCACCAGGTAACCGGCCTCTTTGCAGGGCTGCAACCGGCTCTCGGCCTCGGCCCGGGTGATGGCTCCATGGTACCAGCTGTGAGGAGCAGAGAACGGGCTGGGTTTCTGAGCATGTCCTGCAGGGCCCAAGTCCTGGCTCTGTGGGGTGGGCAATGGGGAGTTACAGGGATCCCTCATGTGCTGGTTGGAGGGGGGGCGATTAGCTCTGGGGGTGCATGGCACGGCACAGGCTCCACCTTTCCTCTCATGTTAGTAAAAGGCACCTGCTTTGTCCAGCATGTCCCTGGAAGCAGGGCTGGGCCCTGGCGGGCGGGATGCATTTAAGGGCTGGGTGTCCAGGCCATCGGAGGCTGATAATCTCGTTAGCCTTAGGAAGTGGCTGGAGATCCTGGGATGGGAGGAGACGGGGCCAGGAGGGGGCCCAGCGAGCTGCGGATCCCACTGGAACCCAACCCCGGGGCTGGCCCAGAGCCACCGCTCAGCTCCTCCGCTTCCTTGTTCCAAAGCCAAGATTTGGAGGCAGGGGGAGGAGAGAAAAATTGATTTCCCCAAGCAAGCGGGGAGAGCCTGGGGCAGAGGGGTCGAGACGAGGGACAGGCTGGTGGGAAGGGGCAACGGCGAACCAAAGTCACAATGCAGCCTCGTTTTGTTTGGGAAGCTCCTGGGGTGCAGGGCTGGGCAGGGGAGGGGGGAGGTCGGGCAAGTGGGTGGGCAGGAGGGGGGCAGGAGGGGGGCTGGGCAGGAGGGGGGCGGGGCTTACGGCTGCTTCTCCAGCGCCAGGGCTGGGTCCACTCGCTCGCCCTCGCCGTGGTCTGGGAGCGTCGGCTTCAGGGTCTTGGGAGTCCAGCTCTTCTGGCGATGGTGCTGCCGCAGCGCCTCGTCCTTGGGGGCGCCCGCCCGCTCCGCTCCCTCAAACTGGACTGGAAGGAAGGGCTCCGTTCGCCGATCGGCAATGGGCAGAAGTGCCCGACTCTCCCCACCCCGACCCAGCCTGAACGGGCCACGCGCCTCTCCCTTGTGCTCGCCCTACCTCAGCTCTCGGGCTTCCCCAGCCCAGATTCTCTCCAGCAGCTCGGGAGCCCAGATCCCCTCCTCACCCCCAAGGACGGGCCCCGGGGCCCCTGCCAGGGGGAGGGCGCTGCCCACTGGACACGGGCACCGCACGGCGTGGACGGACACCCTGGCGTATTGCTAAGAGAGCCAGTCCCTGGCCTCTGCTAGCAGGAGAGTGGGGCAGCTCCCTATGGCAGCCTGGGGCCACGCGGAAACCAGAGCGACCCCACGGCTGCCCCCCTGCAGCCCTGAGAGCAGGCTCCAGGCATGTGCCCATATGCCTCTGTCATCTGCAGGCCCACGCCCCGCCCGCCCCAGAGTCCCCAGTACCCCACCAGCCAGCGCCTTCTCCCCCCCCCCCGCCGGCCAGTGCCCCACAGCCCCACCCCCTACCTGACAGAGCCTTCACTATCTGCTCCTTCTTCCACTCCCAGGGCTGCTCGTACTCCGCGGCAGGGCGCTCGTCGTTCTCCGGGAGCCGGCTGTCCACTGCCCGCGCCCTCCTGTCCTGCGGGGTGCTGGCCGGCGCCTCCCCGGGCTCATAGGGGGTGTCATAGAGCTGCGGCGGGGCCTTCCCCAGCTGCTCCTTGGAGCCCTGCCGCTTGGGCGCCGCGTCCGGCCGGGGGCCGCCCTCCCCTGGCTCCCCGGGCCCGTCCAGCAGCAGGATGGCTTTGACCAGCGGGTCCTTGGAGCCCCGCCTGCGGATTTCTGAAAGGCCAGGGCAGAACCAGAGTCAGGCAGCCCCCCAGAGCCCTGCAGGCAGAGCAGGGGGAGAGGGCAGCAAGGGGGCCTGCCCCCCTGCCCCATAATAATGCCCAGGTGAGCCCCAGACCCAAAGGTGGGGGTGAACACCCTGGAACCTGCAATGTCAGGGCTCAATCCAACACGCCCCACCTTGGGAGACTCCCACGGGCTCCCGCAGGCGCTGGCCAGGCCAGTACCCAAGGGCTGACCCAAGCTGGTCCTGGGAACACCCCGGCTCTGCAAAGCCAAGCTCCGGGGGGCAGGGGATTAACACTGCTTTGTTGGACATCGGCACATGGAGCTGGGAGGGCGAGGTGCTGTCCCTGAATGCTATGGGGCTGGGAAGGCAAGTCCTAGCCGTGGGGCTGGGAAGAGGGCGTGTCCCCCAGGGCTCAGCACTGGGGTACCGATGAGTGCCAGGGTGGGTCTGGGGTCTCTCTGCCCCTCCCCAAGGCGCCGCGGGAACAGAAACAATCCTGGAGCTGCAAAGGGATCCTTCCTGCTGGGAGAATGGAGCGGGACGTGCGGACGGGCTCCCGGAGGAAACGCAGGCAGGAAGCTACGCCCTGGCTGTCCGATAGGAGCCCCTATCCCAGGGCAGGCCAGCGGGCGCAGCGAAGCAGGGCTGGGACCAGGACGTGCATGCAGCTGGCCAGGGGCTGGGGACTCGCCCCGGGCCCCCATCACGGGCCCCCCTCCATGTTCACACTCAGCACCGGGACCCTTATCCCCCAAGTCACGGAGCTGAGCTGCTCCCCGACGAGAAGGGGGCCCAGGGCCGAGCTCCCTCATCGCGCTGGCTCCGGGAGGGGCAGGCATGTGAACCCGCTGTGGGCAGCGTGGGGCAGGGACCCTGCCCCGCGCCTACCAAACAGGAGCCCACCCTGCGGCCGGGGCCCACGCGGGCACAGCCGAGCCATCAATAAAACCACCCGCGCGCCCCCAACCCTTCTCCGTCCACCGCGAACCCCGACGCCCCAGGCCTGACAAACTGCCCTGCCTGGAAAAACCCATCAGCCAGCAGCAAATCTTTCATTTCCAGCTTCCGCTCCACTCGCTTCCTGTTATTCCGCCCAGCTGCTTGGCCGGGGCGAGCCGGGGCCCAGCGCAGCGCGGCGCTGACTTGGGGCGGCTGTGCTGGGAGCCGGGCAGCCAAACACGCCGGGTTGCTAGGCGCCCGTGGGATGTAGTTTTCAAAGGGCAGCGGGAGAAAGTTGCTGCTCAGGGGCTTGGCTGTAAAACGAGCTGTAAATTACCACAATTCCCTGGGCTCGAGGGAACCGCAGAGCTCCCAGATATTCCCCGTGCCCCCGCTGCTGCCCCTCGGACAGCCTCGGAGAGCTGCCACCCCCAGCACGCTGCCCACAGAGACGCCCGGGGGAACCTCGGAGGTGAAAGCGTGAAACGTGCTGAGACAGCTCACGCAGCGGCTCTGCCAGTGCCCCTCACTCCTGACCCACAGCCCCTGCTGCTGGCCCAGCCCGGGGCACCCCACCCAGCTCTGCCAGTGCCCCTCACTCCCGACCCGCAACCCCTCCTCTGGCCCAGCCCGGGGCACCCCACCCAGCTCTGCCAGTGCCCCTCACTCCCGATCCACAGCCCCTCCTCTGGGCCAGCCCGGGGCACCCCACCCAGCTCTGCCAGTGCCCTGCAATTTGACCAGTGGAAGCTGCGGCTCTCCAGGCCTGGACTCTTGTGACCACTCACCAAAAACCCTGCCCAACTGCTGACAGTGATGGACACACCCTGGGTTTGGGACGGCGCCAAGCCCCCGACTGACAGAGTCCCTACACACTTGCTCCAGCCCCATCGACTGGGGCGAGGCTCAGGTGTGGGCCCAGAATCGGGGCAGGGAACCCGGCAGCGATCAGGACGGACTCGAAGGCTCCAGACGCAAACAGCCCTGGGCATCTAACTCTGCTCCCCCCTGCAGGTCATCCCCTCCTTCTCCCCGAGGCGTCTGGCTTGGCTGGGGTTACGCAGAGCGGGCTCCCGGGCACTGATTACCACCCGCACCCTGCCCCAGAGGTACTGCAGTGCGAGTTGCCACGTGCCCAGCACGCCAGCTTGGGGGGGGGGCGGACACCCCCCTTTGCTGTGCTAGTCACTTCGCAAATACACCAGTGTATACCCTGGCTACCCCAGACCTGACCCACGGCCAGGCACCAATCGGGTCTTCCATGGGCGTTAGCAGTAGCCCGGGGAATTCAAAGCTCCTCCGTGCGCTCACGCCGTGCGAGCTTTGCAGTCCCTGGGAGTCCACGTGCGACGCTCCAAGCCTCCCGAGACAGGCCCCAGCTGCCCCCCGGGTCAGTGACCGAAGGCAGAGACAGGCCCCCACCCCCGGGGAGCACTGGAAACGAAGAGCTCCCAGCCCCGGTGGGCCGGCACAGGGCGAAGGCAGGAGCCAGCCAGCTCACTGGATGGAGATGGAGCGCGGCGCGCGCTGGGGCTGTCGCTGGCCAGGCGTTCGTGCAGCGGAGCGGAGCCGGCCGGCCTAGTAACACAGGCGAGAGCGGGGAGGGAACTGAACTGGCCCAGGCGCAGGTGGACACAGCTCTGGAGCCTGCCCCACCCTGGCCAAGGCCAAGGCCTCCAGGTACGATGGGAGTTCTGAACGCCAGGATCGGGCCCATCGCGAGGGATTCCCCGTTTCGTTCCCCTCTTCTCCGCCCCGGGGGCTGCTCGTTTCACTTCCCTTCACCAAGGGACGTGAGCGGAGGTCAGAGTCCATCGGCCCCCGAGTCGGGCCCTGGCCAGAGCCCGCTCGGCTCCTTATCTCTCCCCGCAGAGCAACAGGAAACAGAAGAGCCGGCTTCCTGCTCCAGCTCGGCTTCGTTTCCACAGGGCTGCTGCGGGGATGGAGTCTGCCCAGCCTGGAGCAATCCCACATCGTACCCAGCTCCACGGCTTCAGGGGTGGGTCTTTAACATCGGCAACTATCCCCCCTGCAGAGAACCTCACGCCACTTGAATGAGCCTCCCCCATTCGGCAGGGGGCAGATTTAAATATCCAATTTCAACATTGACCCGTCCCGCCCCGAGTTTCCCTTTTCCCAGGGTCAAATTGGCATTCGCCAGCCCCGCCGGGCTCCCCGGCCACGCACCCGTTATCATCTGCTGCGCGTCGTAGGGCTCCATGTACCCGTCGTTCTCCCCCAGCCGCTCCGCCTCCCGCTGGCCCTTGGTGCGCTTGGCGTCGTACGGGTCGGCGTAGTCCTCCAGAATGATGACCTGCGGGGGGCAAAGAGTTCCCAACACGCCAGCCAGGACAACCACAAGCCCCCTAAGGGCCACAGCACCAGCGCGCTCAGTTATGGGGCGGGAGGGCCTGTGTTTCCAGCGGTGCTGGGCCCCGCAGCGCCCCACACCTTCAACCGGAGAGCTCAGCAGCACCCCTGCCAGCTCCGGGCCCTGCTTCATTGCCACTGGTGCTGTTGGCACAACCGTGTGACACGACTGTGTTCACACGCACGGTGACGGGAATGCTTCACGGTTGGAGACAATATAATCCCAGAGGGATCAGAAGCTGGTAGGGACAGAGAGACGAGGTGGTGTGGTCTGGTGGGGAGGGCCCTGGATTAGAACCTAGACCTGGCTTCTATCCCCTGCTCTGCCCCTGCCCTGCTGGGTAGCCTTGGGCAAGTCCCTTCCCCCCTCTCTGCCTCAGTTTCTCCTCCCACACTTTGCCTGTTCAGACCCATGAGCCCTCTCTCACGATGCGTCCCAACGACGCCGCAGCCAACACACAGGGAGCTCCCAGGGCAGACCAGGCAGCCTGTTGCCTTCACAGATGCTGGCCGGTCGTGGTGATGCTAGCGGGGAGCCTGCTAACGCACATGACAACCACAACAGCCTCGTGCTCACGGGGATCGTGCCAGCTGGTGGCAGCACGGCAGTGTCCCTGGAGAAGACAAGGCCTCTGCATCGGTGCAGCACCCAGCACACGGCAGCCCCCTGAATTCGAGACACGCGTGGGTTCCAGGCAGTGGGGGGCGCCCAGGCGAAGGCTCTTGTGCCAGCGGGGGCAGAGGGTAGGGGATTAATGAGGCCAATGGCTGCAGAAGCCAACGTGAAATGCACACGCCTATCAACGTGGAGAAAAACACGAGACAGCGGGGTGCAGCGTATGCACAGGACACACTCAGCGCCAATTTCCCCCCGTCTCGCTACCCAGTGAATAACCACAGCCTGGGGCCGGCTGCTGGGCTGGCTAACGGGGCCGTATCGGCAGAGCGGGCAAGGAGGGGCCCTGGCCAGGAAGCGCAGCGAGAGCTGTGGGGCAGCCTGGGGCTCCTGCGACTGGAGTGGGGAGGGGGGGGGCGCAGATCAGGACTCCAGGGCATTGACTTGCCCGATGGGAAGCACAGGACTGAAACACTGTGGGGGGGGGGGGAAGTCTGTGGGTCAGGGCTGACCAGCCGTGGGCACCTCTGTCTGAAGAGCTGCAGGTCGGGACCAAGGTTCAGGCCAGCCCTGCCAGGGGCTCCCCGATTCCAGGAGGTAGGCGCTTTATTTAGCTAAACCACAGCCCCCAGCTCGGCATGTCCCACTTCCCAGCAAACGGGGTCCTTCCAACCAGACTTTTCATAACGAGCCGCCACGCCAGCAGGGACTAACGAGGTCAGCCTGGGATCAGTGAGCTGCGGGGACAGAGCGCCTATTCTCCCTTTGGCAGATTACAGCGAGATTGGGATAAAGGGAATTAGGAAAGGGCTCAGAGCCGGGCTAATCAGCTGAGCCGACAGCATTGAAAGCCGCCTCCTGCTCTGGGGTCCCTCATTTCCCAGGATCCGGGGAGAGGGAATGAGAACGTGACCTGCCCAAAGCCACGCACCAGAGCTCTGCCAAGCAAAGGGGCAGCCGCTCTCCCAGGGGGCGCTGGCTCCCTCGAGGCACCAGTACTTGGCCGAAGCCAACAGGGTTTTAATCCATCCGGCAGGGCAGCACCGTCCCCTCCCAGGCGCAGGGCAGGCTCAGAGTACGCAGCCCCCGCGTCCTGACCGCGGGTTAGCAGCGGGAGTTAAAGCCCAGAGGGCGGCCTGGGGGCGAACCCGCACTGCTAACGCCCGTTAAAAGCGGAGCGGCCGTGTCTTCCCGGGGGGCTGACCCCGAGTTCAGAACAGCCATTTGCTGCCGTGTAGACGCCCCTGGGTGAGTTGGCCAAGCCCAAGCCCACACAACAGCTCCCGTGAGCGCCAGCCCCGGGCGCTACCCGCTAGGCCCCGGCCCCTTACCGTCTCCTGCTTAGGGCTCTTGCCCTTGTCCTCCTCCGGCGCCGGGCTGGGCGCTGGGCTACTGCTGGGGTAGCTTTTCCCAATCTTCTCATGGGCGTCCACCTTGATGAGCCGGTTCATGTAGGTGCTGCAGCCGGGGCCCTTGGGGGCGCCCTCCTGGGGGCTGCCTTCCGCCCGCGAGTTCTTACGCATCTTGCCCGTGGCGGCCTGGATCAGCCCCTGCAGGTTGTCCCGGGACAGCCTGCTGCCGCCATCCTTGCCGGGCCCCGGAGCCGCCCGGCAGCCCCCCAGCTCGGCCGCCGAGTTCTTGCGGTTTTTGCCCGGCACGGGGCCGGGGCCCGGCTCGGCGGGGCCCAGGGGCTTCCGGGAGGCGCTGCACAGCTTGCCCAGGCTCCCGCTGCCCGGCCTGGCCCGCTCCGACGCCGTCTTCAGACTGGAGGGGAACTCCCTGAACCACTTGGCCGCCATGGGGCGGGGGGGCTGCCGGGCTATGGCTGGGAAAGGCCGAAGCGGAGATGCCGGGGAGGGGGCTGTGACCTTTGGTGGGGAGGGGGGGATCTGGAGCCTGGGGGCTGGGGGGAGGGGGTGTGCCCCACCCACGGGGCCCGCGGGGGAGCTCCGTGCCAGCTGAGCCAGCAGGGGATGCGGGTGGGGAGAAGGGGGGGTCCTGCTTCCCCCTCGCCCCCGGTAAATCACAGTCCCGGCGTGGGGGGGGGGGGGGGGCCGCGACGGGGGGCCCCCCCGCGGGGGGGGGGGGGGGGGGGGCCCCCGGGGGGGGGGGGGGGGCGTTAACCCATGGGGGTGCAGCGGGGAGCGGGATGGGGAGACAATTTCACCTGCAGGAGAAGGGGGGGGCAGATGGGGTCGCTCCAGGTCCGTCGCCCCGCCCCGGGGGCCCCACGAAGCGCTGCTGGGCGCCCCGAAGCCTGGAGCGGGTCTGCGGGGGCGCAGCGCAGCGGGGGCGGCTCCGTGTCTCCAGCGCCTCGCTCCCCGCAGCTCCGCGGCCGCCGGCCAGCGCTGCCCGGGCTCCCCGCCCAGATCCGGAGGGGGCGGCGCAGGGGGGAGGGGGGACCGGCCCGCAGAGAGCGGCCCCCGCCGCGAGGGGGCGCAATCTGCCGCGCAGGGCGATTTCCAGCGGCGTCGGGGCGCGCGCGCGCTGCGCGGTCGGGGCGCTGCGCGCTTTGCCGCCGGGCCCGGTTTGTAAATCAGCGCGCGGGTGAGAATTACAAACTGCGCCTAACGGGCCACGACTGCGCATAACCGTCGCCCCCGCGCAAATCGGCGCGCGAAGCCCTGGTGCCCCCGCGCAACGGCCGCAGCCCGGGCACGGGGGGGGGGGTCGCCCCGCCAGCTTTGCACGCAGACAGTGAACGTGCCATGGTCGGACTAATTGCAATTAGCAGCGCCGGCCATTAGCGGTCCGGTCCAGCCAGGCGCGGAGGTTGCACCCGGGCGCAAGGGGCTGCAGCGCGGGAATTGCGCGCTCGGCTCCGGAGCGGGGCCGGCGGTTGATCCCCGCCCGCCAGGTTTGCACCCCGGGCCCGGGCCATGGAGCCGGCTTGGCCCTGCCCCGGCGGGCGGAGCTGGTGCGCGGCGAGGCCGGGGCTGCAGGGCCCCGATAGGGCCGCGGGGTGCCCGGGACTCGGGGGCTGGTTGCGGCCAGGGACGGGGCTGAGCCCCCCCCCCCCCAAAACCTTCCCTAGCAGGGCCCCCCGGGGAACCGCCCCACCCCTTCCCCTTTGTGGCTTTCTGGGGCTAACTGGCCCCCTTATATAGTCCCCCTTTGGGGGGGACCCGGGAGGGAAATTGCCCCCTTCCCCTTACAAGGGTCGTCTCCCCCCCCCCCAAGGCCCCTGGTGCCCCTCCCAGGTGGGGCCCTGTGGTGGGGGTGCCCGGCGGTGCACACCTGTCTGCAATGGGCACAGCTCTGCGGGCACCTCCCTGGGTCCGGCCGGCCCCACCCTTGGGAGCAGCATGGTCAGACACGCCTCGGCCCCCGACGCTCACTGGGTCTCTCCTGGTCTCTTTGCAGGTTGCTGGGGCCTGTGACCCCCGGAGCCATGTGAGTAGCTGGGGGAGATGAGCTCCTGCTGGCGGTGAGCTGGGGGGCTCCCCTGGCTCCGGGCTGGGAAATGCCCCTCCCAGCTCCTGACCCCCCACCCCCAGCATTGTAATGAGCCCCATGGGGTTCTGTGGTGCTGCAACCCCAGGCACCACTCGGTTTGGGGAGGGTCTTGGGCAACTGCCCCTCCCCCACCCTGTCCCTGGGGCGGCCCTCCCAGCGCAAAGCTCCGGCCCCCAGCTCAGGCTTGTATCAGGCCGCATGGCTAGCTGGATCCCAGTTCTGCAGCAGCATCCCCAGATCCAGAGGCAGCTTCAGAAAATCTTTAGCAGGAATTAAATCTGGCAGTGCGGCCGTCCGCTGGCATAGGCACAGCTCAGTTCACACCTGTTTCAGGCTGCTGCAAACTCAGGAAACGTCACAGCATCGGTTTCCTAAGAGATCGGCTCTAGGAATTATTTTGGGGCAGTTCTAATGTCTGGTCTGTGCTAGGCCAGAGGGCTGACGCGATGACCATGGTGGTCCCTTCTGGCCTTGGGATCTGTGAATCTAGGCCCCGGTCCTGTTTCGAGGTTATTTCGGTGGCATGAAGGCTTGAAACACACACGTGTGAGTGAGCGCGAGAGAGAGGCCCTGGAGCCAGGGGTGAATGGTGGGTGTGGCATATTGCACTGCCCCAGGGCCCTGAGCGAGTGTCTGGCTTGATTTATTGATCTTCCCAGTGATGCTGAGCGCCCAGAGCTCCCTCTCACATCACCCTCCTTCCACGTTATGACCGTAGGGTCGTGGGTGATAAGGTCACAAAGCGCGCGTGTCCTCTGTTCCTTCTGCCGTTTCAGGGCAAGCAACAGCGGTGGCTGGGGTCCTCCCCAGCCCCACAAGCCGAATGGGAAACCGGAGCAGCTCAAATACTCAGGTAAACTCAGACCCTGGTTCCTTTTCCTCGCCACTGCTGGGGTTGCTCACGTGGCTGTTTATTTTGCATCCTCCACAAGAAGGCGAGAGAATCATTAACTTTCTGTGTGTCTAGGATTTAATGCTGTGTGTTGCACTGCTCAAAATCTCTACAAACATCTCTAGCAGCATCTCTACAACCAGCCGTTCTGTGTGATGTACAGCTGTGTCCTGTGACAGGCCGGGTCTCTCTTGTACATGTGACCGTCTTACAACTGCGCTTTTAATATTGCAAACGAGTCCGTCGTTAGAGTTGCAGGCGCTTTTGTGGGGTACTCTCATGCTCTTAGCAATGACCAACTTTGCTCTTTGTTTGGGATCAAAACCAACGGGATATAAAATAACCCATGGGTGGTAGTTCAAGCTAAATCCTTAATCTGGCAAATGGTTAAACCCATAAAATGCAGATGTTAAACTGAACACACGTTAAGGACGTGGGTCATTTTTTGCAGGACCAAGACCTAAGTTTGTACCTGAATTTCCATGATAAACCTTTTCACAGGGGTTCAAGGGAAACTAGCATCTCATCCTGCAAACTAATAACCAAAACCTGGATCAGGAGGGTGGGAGTGACGGGGGAATCCATCTTTGGCTTTTAAGATAAAAGATGCATTTTATTGTCACTAAAATCGAGCTTGTTGATCTTTTGAGGAGTAAAGTAACTAAAGTCCCAGAGATTGTGTGTTGTGTGTGTGTGGTGCACAGATACGCAAGAGAAACAATAAAGTTCTTGGCATTGTTAGCATTTGTTGGCTAATGTCCATCATCAGAACTTAGCCCAAAATGTATTTCTATAATAGTCGGTACAACGGTTGAGGGGGAGCAGTTTACCAAAATAGGTATTTGTCCCTTTCCCCTGAGGTCACTTCAAACAACTCTCAGGTTTGTTAATCCACAAATAAGGCTGTAAGAAAAGTTGTTTGGTTGGGAGGCCTTGTTTAGTTGTTTGTTCAAAAGTTATAGCCACAGTTTGTTAATGTGGCGATTCCAGGTGTGCGCCTCCCGAAGCAGGGCAGTGGCACAGAGGAGATCCTGCGTGTCCTGCTTGGTTCTCACAGGCATGATGCTTGGATGGCTGGGCCAAAATTTGAGTCAAATTTGCTGCAATTATTTTTTAAAAAGTTGCTGTTTCCGGAAGAAAATTGCAGCCTGTGATTTGCGTTCAGCCTTATCCGTAAGCTTGTCAAGACCCTGCTTCGCCGGAAGCACAAAATGGAGTTTTCGGTGTTTTTCTTGCTTGTTTTTCAAGGTGTCGTCAAGAAAAAGGATTCGGAAGTTTATGTCGGAAATGTCCCGCCTGAAATGAAGGAGGTATCTTCTTCGCTGTTTTGGAAGGGGCGTTCTCTGCTTTAGTGATATAAGTTAAGCAGTTAACATTGACGTCCCACCAAGTCGTACGTAGTCTGCCGTCTTTAACTCTTTGTGAAATGTGGTTATGTGGCTTGATTTCCCCGCTCTGCCGCCAAATAATCTTCCAAGGGAGACGAAAGCTGGCTTGCAAACACAGAGGTGACAGGTTGGTGCTGGTCATGGGATTAGTGATGCTCTTGGGGGGAACCTGCAGCAGGAGCCCAGCAGTTTAATATAATGGCCGTGACTCTTATCAGGGCAGGAGGAGCTTTCATCTTGCTCCCCATGGTTACTCTGCTCCCATTCCCTACGGTACGTCTTTCTGAACCAGGAGCTGGTGTCTGCTCCGCTTGCGTGACCCTTTACGCTGATCTCGTTCCAGGGCCGGCTGTTCTGTGTGTAACAGGTTTCGCTGCAGCCTTGACAGCTGCCTGTCTCGGCACAGACGATAGCTGGACTCACCCAAAATAAAATGGGCTCCCGTCCCTGTGGGAAACCGCTGTCCTGAATCTTACAAATAAACCGCCTGCTGCAGCCGCTGTCAGTGCCTCTGCTGTAACGAGGCCTCTCCCCTTAACCTGGGCTGCTTTGCTTTCCCAGGAGGACATATTGCTCCTGCTCAGGGACTTCCACCCGCAGCGTATTAAAAGGTGCCATTCCGGGTTGAGAAGGTAGGTTTGTTTTTCCTTTTGCCCTCAGTGTAGTTCTCCCTGTTGTCCAGCTCAGCAAGCTCCCGTCCCTGCTCCGGGGGCTTTGTTCTGTGAGGAGAGAGGCTTGCTGATACCCCACTCCCTTGGAGAGCAAAGGGCCTTTCCTTAGCTTGCTCCGCAGATTGGGTGGTCGTGGTAGTTGTCAAGTTATTTCATTCTAGGGAGTGTCTTCGGAAGAGCCCCCAGCTGGCACCCTAGCTTCTCCCTTCTGTCCAGAAACCGCAGAACAACATTCTGGGGTCACCCTGGAAGCTTTTCTCCACCTGCCCCCCCCCCCCCGAGTCCCCACCAAGCTAGTGCGACAGGAGGCCAAAGGCAGCCCGAGGAGTAGGGTCTTGGGACCAGTTCCTGGAGATAACTTAAGGCCCTTGGTTTGGGCTTCTCTCCGCCCTATGGCAGTCTGGCTCGTTGCCGGGAGCTCCCTGCGCGTCCACCCAGTGGCACTTGTTCATTGCTGGGCCATTTCTAGCTTCTTGTTATTGGACACAGCAGGATGGGTCTGTGACCGGTTCGGTCACAGAGACCCCCTTGGGACTGTCACCTGACGCTCTGAGCCCGTTTTCCCTGCCAGCTTGGGACTCCAGAACCCTGCCCTGTGGAGCCAGACACGCTAGTCTGCTGCAGCACAGACCCAGGGTCTGGTCCACGCCCCCAAAGCTGCAGACTTAACTGAAAACAGCTCAGCAAGTCACCTGCCTCCTGCACCCAGACACCCAGCTCCCAGTGGGATCCAGACCCCAAATAAATCCGTTTTACTCTGTCTAAAGCTTATGAATTGTTCGCCCTCTATACACTGATAGAGAGAGATGCACAGCTGTTTGCTCCCCCAGGGATTAATCACTTACTCTGGGTTTATTAATAAACAAAAAGGATTTTATCAAGTATAAAAAGTGGGAGTTAAGTGGTTTCAAGTCATAACAGACAGAATGAAGTAAGTCACCAAGCAAAATAAAACAAAACTCACAAGTCTAAGCCTAATACCTGTAATCAGTTTCTTAATGTAAATCTCACCCTCAGAGCTGTTCCAATCAGCTTCTTTCACAGACTAGACTCCTTCCTAGGCTGGGCCCAATCCTTCCCCTGGTACAGTCCTTGTTAGTTCCAGCAGCCATCTCAGGTGGTAAGCAGGGGTTTTCTCATGACTGGCCGCCCCCTTTGTCCTGCTCCACCCCCTTTTATAGCTTTGGCACAAGGCGGGAATCTTTTGTCTCTCTGGGTCCCCACCCCTGCTTCTAAATGGAAAAGTACCAGATTTAAGATGGATTCCAGTATCAGGTGACATGGTCACATGTCACTGTAAGACCCCTAGTCTCCATTCCCCATGGGCTGGCCCACAAGTCCACAAGAAGGCTTGCAGGTAAATAAACCATTTACAAACAATTGTCCTAATCAGTGGGAGCCATCAAGATTCTAAATCACCATTAATGGCCCACACTTTGCATAATTACAATAGGACCTCAGAGTTGTACTTCATATTTCTAGCTTCAGATACAAGAATGATCCATGCACACAAATAGGAGGAATATACTCAGTAGATTATAAGCTTTGTAATGATACCTCACAAGAGACCTTTTGCATGAAGCATGTTCCAGTTACCTCATATTCACCCTCATCAGCATATTTCCATAACCCATAGGGCGTGCACCGTCCCAGGGTAACGTGGCACCTTCCCCTCCTCCTCCCCCAGCTATGCCTTTGTAGATCTCGGCTCCTCTGAGCAGGTGCAGGCCGCAATCCAGCGCTTCAGCGGGCACCTCGTGAACGGACGTCGCCTGTTTCTGAGCCGCACGGGCGCAGGCAGTGGGAGGAAGGACCCGGCTGGGACCCAGCGCATCGTGGAAATGCCCGTATGGCTGCTGCTAGCTCTGAGCTGTGTAACTAGCTGTAGGGGAGGCCGCCTGCCGGCACGCTTGGCCAAGGCTGGGTCGGATGGACCGAGCCCTGTGCTCACTTTGTGGCTGCGCACGAGTCCCTTGCCTTTCCCTTCTCCCCACGATGTCAGTCAGACACGGGGGCTGCTGCCCGAAGCGGGGCGTGGGAACCAGGAAGCCGGGGTGATGTTGCCAGCTCTGTCACTGTGTGAATGGGAGAACGGGGAGGGGGTGGCTGCAGTGTCCGAGACCTGCCTGTTGTAAGAGGAGAGTAACCCCCCCCCGTTTGCAAAGTGCGCTGGGCTCTTTGGAGGAAAGCCCCGGTGCCAGCGCACCATGTTCCCTATCCCGCAGAGTGGCTGGAATACGACCATCCGCAGCCCTGAGCTGCCTCCCGCTGTGGGGAGCAGGCAGGAGGCAGCGCCTGCTCTCGGAGCGCTTCCAGCCCGTGGGGGCTCGTGGCTTGTATGGTGAGATCAGCTCGGTTTTCTTTGCAGGCTTTGGAGAGAGTCCCCAGAGGAGAGCTGGGTCTGAGCCAGGGTAAGCTCTGGGGGGCGGTCCCGGCCTCCCGCCTCCGGGCACTGGTTCCATCCGCAGCGCCCCACCTCCCACCCCCATGGGGAAATGAAGCTTGGTGGCTGCTCGTACGCTGAGCTGTCTGGCTGCCCCACGCCCCTTTGCTCTGCACGGAGCAGCCTGCGTGTGGCAGGAATGGTCAGGGAGGGGCTGGTTCCACACGCCTCTGGAGACGTCCTAGCCCAGGCCCCCAGACAGCAATTCCGGGCCCCAGGGCAGAACAGTCAGTGCCCCCCCCCCCCGCATGCACAAGCCGCGGATGCCTGACATTCGAGCGGTGCTTTGCCTGCGCTGGTGGGTGCCCAGCGAGCTGCCGGCTGCGCTGCTGGGCCCGTTCTTCTGGCACGGCCAGGGCTTCCACGTGCCCACCCGGTAGGGCTGCCAACTCTCTAATCGCGCAAACCCAAAGACCCTTGCCCCACCTCTTCCCTGAGACCAGGCCCCACCCCCTGCTCTCTCCACCCCCACTCCGTCCATCGCTCGCTCTCCCCCACTGTCACTCACTTTCACCAGGCTGGGGCAGGAGGTTTCGGGGTCGGGCTCTGGGAGGGAGTTTGGGTGCGGGGGGGGTGAGGGGTGCGGGCTCTAGGAGGGAGTTTGGGGTCGGGGGTGGGTTGGGGTGCAGGAGGGGGTGAGGTGTCGGGCTTTGGGAGGGAGTTTGGGTGTGGGAGGGGGTGAGGGGTGTGGGCTCTGGCAGGGAGTTTGGGTGCAGGGCTCTAGGCTGGGGCAGGGCGTCGGGGTACAGGAGGAGGTCGGGGGTCAACACTTACCTCGGGCGGCTCCTGAAAGCGACCCACACACCCTTTGGCAGCAGCTGCTTGGGAGGGGCCCAGGGGTTCTCCGCTTGCTGCTGCCCACAGGCACCGCCCCCACAGCTCCTATTGGCTGCAGTTCCTGGCCAATGGGAGCTGTGGAGTCGGTGCCCAGGGCGGGGGCAGCATGTGGAGACCCCCTCCCTGGGGCCGCAGGGACTTTCCGGACGCTTCCCGGAGTGGTGCTGAGCAAGGGCGGGCAGGAAGCCTGCCGTAGCACAGCTGCACAGCTGCCGGCGGAGGCCGGGGGCCCCCGGTCAGTTGTCCCCTCTGCCCCCCCGTCGGCTGGCCTGTCCTAGACCCAGGGGCATTGGAGGTCGCACAGGCTGGTAGGCCCAGGAACCTCGAGTGGCTTCTAATTCAGCAGCCCCCTGTACCCTGATCTGCTCGCTGTTCATCGAATTCCCAAGTGTCCCCTGCCGGTCTCAAAGGGGAACGTCCCCCAGGCTCGTGGCTTTGCAGGAGCTCGCCTGCGTTTTCCTTAGTCCCTGTTGTCAGCAGCTCGCCCTGTGGCTGCCAAAACACCAAACCGGCTCCAAACACCAGAACTGTCCTGCCTGAAAAGGCAGCTGCGACTCTGGTGCACGTGGGCCTGCTGGGGATGAGGGAATTCGGTCGCACGAGGGACTGGCTTAGCTAATTTGGGGGGAGGTTCTGGGGGTGACCAATGCCACTGGGCACGTTTCGGTTGCTCCGGTTAAATCTCGCTGTAAGGTTTCTAAACCCCTTCTCCAGCAGTCGCGCGAGCTCCCGGAGCAGGAGGGGAAGGCGACTGAAATCCCGTCTGGCGGATTTTAATTAAAGGGCTCGTTTAAATCTCAAACCCTCCTGTTCTTCCTCTGCTCCTAGCAAAGGCAGAGAACCAAACCCTGCAGCCGGCACCTCCCGATGCAGTGAGGCAGATCTGTTACGCGGTTCCCATGGAAATGAGGTAAGCACCAGTGCCAGGGACCCCGGCCTGCCAGCATCACTGGCTCTGGGATAACGACGCTGTGACGTTTAATGCTCCTCACTCTGCCACTTGTTCAGTCCTGGCTGCTTGGCCGAGGCGGCCATGTTCCATACTGCTGGTAACCTC